CGCTGGGCCCGTGTGGGGTCCGTGTTCACAGCCCCTCTCCATCGCTGGGCCCGTGTGGGGTCCGTGTTCACAGCCCCTCTCCAGCCCCTCTCCAGCGCAGGGCCCGGGCCGCGGCTGTGCCGGGCCGCGCTCCTGCCCCGCCGGCCTTGCCAGCTGTGCGCAACACCCGGGAAAACAGCCCTCGCTTCCGGCACGTGAAACTCGCAATTTGGCAACCGGGCTGGAGCAATAACCAGTCATGGAAAGAAAAATCTGATTTGCATCTGGGGCCGGGGCCTGACGTCAGGAGGAGCAGGAAGCCGCGCTCGGAGCTGCCAGGGATCGCTGGCCGTGTCACGGGCTCTTTCCCCGGCAGCGAGCCCGCCCGCCAGGCTGGCACAGCTTGTGAGGGCCCCAGGGAAGAGGAAGCTCTGCGAAAGAGAGGAGAGGCCGGTCCCTGGCCGGGAGCGCAGCATGCGCGGCCGCTGCTGATGGGCGGTGGGCACCAAGGGCTGTCCGGAGCGGCACCGCGGAGCCATGGCCCTGCAGCCGCCGCCCCCCGCCTTCAGGGCGGCCTCGGCCTCGGCGCTGTACATCCACAGCATGCCCGCCTGGGTGCTGGAGGACTTCTGCCAGAAGATGGACTGCTTGAGCGACTACGACTGGATGCGATTCGGTGAGTGAGGGGGCACGGGGCAGGAGGGGTGGCGGTGGCACAGGGACAGCAGCGCTCCCCGAGCCGGTGGCGGTGGCACAGGGACAGGGACAGCAGCGCCTTTGGGACGGGCTGGAACGGAAGGACGCGAGGTTGGCGCTGTCCCCCCCCGTTTCCCAGCGCTCGGCAGAGCCCATCCTGTAGCAGGGAATTCCCGGGCACCGCTCTGCCTTTGCTTTTCAAATGCAGGTGGAATGCCAGACTCTGTGGTCCCGTGGTTTTTCCGGGGCAACCAGGCTCCTTCCCCTCACTCTCCACAATCTTTCGCACTTCCCTCGCCAGTCACACTGTCTCCTGCCACTTCTCACTCCTGTTTTCTCACATCTCCTCAGGTGTTCTATTTTTTTCTTTCCTCCTTCTCTTCATGTATATTTCCTCACACTTTCTGCCCCTAATTTTCTCCGTCCTGGCTGTGTCCAGTCAGTAAGTACAGAAAACTTAATCCCTGAGTTATTTACTCTTTTTTTCTGTATCCCAGTGGAAACAATTCTAAACTGAATATTTTCTTAGTACCTGCCTTCCTTTATTTGACATTGCTTCTCTAACTGTGTGCTGAATAAGCTATTACCCCAGTTAAACTTCTGATGTAGGGTGGGATTCATCTCCACTACCTTCAGGTGCATGAAGCCGTATTTCTGATGTCCTTCCAAAGGCAGCCGTGCTGAGAACTCAGGAGTCTCTGTGTCCACACGAACACCCCAGCCCCATGTCTTTTTCCTGCAGGCACAGTCCCGCTGACACTCAGCTCTGGGGCTGTGTCCAGGTGTGTGGGGTGGAGCTGGGGCAGCGTCAGGGAGGTGGGTTCTGGATGGGTCAGGAATTGGGACACACTGTAGGGTCAGCTTTGGCACAGGATCTAAAAATAGCTGCATTTCCCTGATAGCTTTATCGGAGTGTAACTAACACCCAGGTGATTCAGTTATTGTTTGGCTCACCACAGAACAGGGATTTAGGAATGAAAGCAGAAGTGCAGCCACTCTACTGACTGCTGTCATCTGTTTTGGGAGAATCACCCCAGGAATTTAATTTAACCTTACTTTGGTACAAAGTATTAAGGAGAAAGATTACAAGGAAAATATGCTGAAAAGTGTGAGTGGGTCTTCTTATCAAGTGTTCCTGATATAACAAAATTTTTTACAGAATAGTTGAAGGAAAAAAAGGAATATCTTACTTTAGGAACAGAAATTTCTTCATTTCCACGTAGGTAATTTATTGTCATCCTTCCTTTTAAAGATACACAAATGTAAAACCAAACTGTCTCACACCTTAGCCTGGCCTGCTTGCACGTGCCTGTTTTTTCTAATATTTAAACAGAAATATCCATTCTCTCCCACCAGCCTCCTACGTGATCACTGATCAAACAGAGCTACGGAAAATCAAGTGCATGGAGAAGACAGGGATCAGCATCACGAGGGAGCTCATGTGGTGGTGGGGAGTGAGGCTGGCGACAGTGCAGCAGCTCCTGGACCTGCTGCAAGGGCTGCAGCTTTACCGAGCGGCCCAGGTCATCCTGGACTGTGAGTACCCCCTTCCTCCCACGGCTCTGTGCTGCTCCTCACAGCACCCACGCCCCTCCTAGGACATCTTCCCTAGCTGAAAAAGCTTTTTCTTAGAAGTCACATCCTGTGTCTCCACGGATTGTCATTTTCTGCTCATCCAAGCAGAATTGGGGATGTGAGGGAAGAGGTGACACAGGTGCACTCACCAGTCCCTGCAGCTCATCACCCCATCTTTGTGCTGCCCATCTTGGACCCTTCAGGAAGTGCCAGGAAGATGGGCTGTGGCCAAACCAGGGCTGGTGCTTTTATACATCAGACAGGGTTTCAGAACACAGGCTGCACAAAGGGTCCCTGCCCTTCAGGCCTGGTCCTGTGGCACCAGATCACATCCTGAGAGAGGCATATTGCAGCCCCTAGCAGGATTGCTTCCAGTCCAAGAGCAGGTTCCAGCAGTTAGCCCTGAAACACAGACACAACACACACACAACCAGTCACCATCCCTGCAGGGAAACACTCGCCATCCCTCTGGTTTGCTCCCTGTGATGTGTGAGCAGGGCTTTGCTTCCACAATTTGCACCTGGTGTAGGTACAACAGGGCATTACCTGCTTTCCCTTATGCTTCTGTCAGTTACCTTTTTTTTTTTGAGCTTTTTCTCTGTATCTGAATATGCTCTCTTGGGCAGATACAGAGAATATGTTGCTTGTTCTGTTGGGCACTTCAGAAAACTAAACAGTCCTTAGGTCATCATAATTCAATTAATTCTTACTCAGAGGAACCAGACACAGCACAAAGGGAGATCTTTTGCTGGCAGATTACTTCCCAAAGAGTTCTACCTCTCTTCAACAGTTTCTTGCACTCTCTAGTCCCACTTCTGAATGTCCTTAATGATGTTTTCTGTGTCAGTTCTTTAGCTGCAGTGCTGCCCTGTTTGTCATGCAGGAAGTTGCAAAAGTCATGAAAAACCCTGAAAAGTAGGTTGAATAAGGGAAGTGGTGCTAAGTTCTGAGACTTCTAGGTTAAACCATGTGAGGAAAAAAACAGAACACAGGGATTCACCCACAGAATGCAGGGACTGTCAGTTTTGACTAGAGGCCTGCAGACTGACTGACAGATAGTTTTAAAACCCTGTAAAATTTGGGATTTCATAGCATTCTAACACAGTAACAAAAATACCTGAGTATTCTGAATTTTAATTTTCAGAACTGGTTTAATTCAGACCTGAATTCATTGAAGAAAACAAATAGAATCCTTAAACAGAACATGTCCATTTCTGCCATTACTGCTCTCCATGTGCTGCTGTTCTTCAGCCTCAGTGCCTGAATGTGCCACAGCTTGGCTTCTCTCCCACAGTTCACTGGCTCATGGTTCATACACCCAGATTACACAAGAAGCTCTGGGCTTCCTGCTTGATCCAGATACTCCTGGCCTTTGCTTGTACAAGTAGAAGAACACAAAGCTGTGGCTGATCTCAGATGCAAACAGAAGCCTGGCACATTTAATTCTGAGATCACCAGATGGGATACAAAACTGTTAGAACAGCAGGATAAGCCATGTAATAATATTTGGGCTTATGTTTTTTCTGTATAAAAATGAAACATTATTTTTGATTTTTAAGGAAATGTTAAATGTATTGCTGATAAAAGGTGTCAGATAGAAGTTTAGAACTACAACCAGGAAAATGTTGGGAGTAGAAAGCCCTTATATCACCCCTAGTGCATTTTGGGCATTTCCAGGCTCCTTTTCAACCTCAGTTTAAAGAGCATTTTAAGAGATTGGAATTCACCTGCTTTGGAGATTTTAACAACCTCATATATCACAGCATCTTGAACTTTTGTACTTTATTTCTTCCCATCCTAACTGTATTACTGAATAATCCCCCCTCAGATGTACCTAGTTTTAAGTTCCTGTACTGTATATTTGTACTTGTTTTAATCAGACTTCAAGTTGCTTTTTCAGGCCTGACCCTGAGGTTTTTCCAAGCTGTGTACAGCACAGGATCTGGTAGAGCTGTAGTGAATCAATAATTCATCCTTTAAAGTTTCCTTTTGTATCAATAAATTTTGAGCTGTGACTTTTTATTTTCCCTAGATTGTCTTTGGTTTGTTTCTTTCTGTTGCTAAGTAAAAGTATGAGTCTTTCTTACAAATAGTCCTGTATATGAACGTTTTTCCTGGGAATGAACCTAGTCATGCCACTAAAATCACACAATTGAAAATAGCCCTAAAATGATTAACTGACTAAACTCACACAATTCTATCCATCTTCCCCTCAGTCCCATGGCAACTGACAGAGAACTCAATGCCTTCCTTAGGCTGGAAGGTGTTTGTAATTTGAGATCATTACCTGAAGGATGCTATATAGAAAATTATAAATATATTATTATTGCTAATTTCTTCTTGTAAGAGACTCTGCATCTCTTGAATAGTCATTGCTGGTATTTGAAGCTATTAGTTCCTGTTAATTTTCAGTAGAAGTTAATGTCATGGGTATAAGTCTCAATTTAAATACTGTCTAAATTGCTGGACTGTTCATTTTAATGTTGATCTTAATTTGAAGTCTGATGTCCTGCCTAGGATTATTTTCTGGTCACTGATTAGAGTCTACTTGCCCTAGATATCCTTATCCTCCCTTTGCTCTGTTTTGAAGGGACATCGGCCTCTAACATCACCAGCCTTGAGAGAGAAGAGCCAGAGCCACCCAAACAGATCATATCTATGCTTCCCACAGAAGACAAAAGGAGAGAGAAAGAAAATGCCATGAGTTTGTTGCCATCTCCAGACTCCTCACACCTGGCAGCAGTCCCAGCAGGCAGTAAGTAGATACTGGACTCCGAATTTGCCCTGACATGAAATGATTGCATAGCCAAGGCTGCTGTGTGTTTGTGGTTAGGGTAGCAGAATGAAGACACTCCCAGATCTCCCAGATGGGCACAGCTGAATGTTTGCTGTTTTCCTAGCACTGCTGTCTCCTGTTTATTCCTGACTTCAGCATACAACCTCCTGGTTGTCCTTCCTTTAGCCCCCTTGGCCTTGAGAGATGCTGGCTGTATCTATGCTCTGGGATCTCAGGATGATTCCCAGGTCTCTGAATGCCCTGGTCCCATCCTGGCTCCACACAAAGACTACAGCAGTGCATGCATGTCTTGCCTCATGTCCCTCTCTCCATGCACAGTAAATCTAGGCCAGCAGAGAGCCAGGCAGGGGTCAGCAGGCCCTGCTGATACATCTGCAACAGCACAGACACAGGGAGCCTCATGTCCCCAGCCAGGGCTGGAGAGGGCTGCACAGTATCCTGCAAACAAGAACTAGGAAGAGAGCTCCCTAGAATTTCACAGTTTGACAGCTTGTCACAGATTATCCTTGGTCAGAAAATTAAAAGAAATACCCCAGATCTTCATAATTCCTAGACCTTTGTAGTTAGTCACAGGTGGTGGTATTACAAAAAAAGATGTGTTTTCAATGCTGTTTTCTTAGTTTCAGGTGCTGTTTCTGAAGGAGCCTTGTATTCCCTCCCTGCTCCACCACCTCCCCCAAGAGACCTTCTGAATTCCCTACAGTCCAATCCTCCTGTTTTATCAAGTGTGAAGGTAAATCCCCTTAGTGCTCACTGACTATATCAAGCAAAATTGCCTTTATGACATTGTCTTTTTTCATTTAAAGTTTATCCCTCCACTTGTACTAAAACGCTGATGTAGTGTAAATGCTGAGCTCGATTACAAAGGGTTTGGATTGAATACAGTACTAATGCTTCAGTTAGATTGCTTGTGGTTTACATCACTTTTTGTGCCAGTGAAGGACCAGTGAGGGAAAAACTTCCAGTATTACTTCTGGCATAGCTCAGAAGGGATAGCATACCCACAAATAGCAGTTGAGTCTGAAGGACTCTCACGTGTAGATTTTACAGAGGACTTACATTTCTGGTGTGATTGCAGGAGAGGACAGTAAATACCACTGGTTAGTCAGAACCACATACTTCTTCTAGTTTCATTGCATACTTAAAATGTGGTTTCTGCTCAAAACTGGGCTAGTATTGAATTTAAGTCATGTTGCCCAAAGCCTTGTGTAGCTGACAATTGAAAATCTCCCAAGATAAAGGTTCCATCACCTCTCTGAGCCCTGTTCCAGTCCTTAACCATCACAGTGGGAAAAAATCTCCTGATGTTCCTAATGATTTCAGCATGAAGTCTCCTGCTCCTTCCTCCCCACAGTTCTCTCATCTTTCACATGGTCTAACTAGATCTGCCCTGTCCCCAAAGTGTTTCCCAGATCTGTGGGCCCACCTTAGTCCCATCATGATTGTTCTTGGCCTGTTTTCTTTGGTTTATTTTGTCTGAGGCTTTAAACTCTTCCACAATAACATGGTTCAGGAGTACCAGCCAGGAGAGAAGACTGACTCAGAGTGCAGTAGTTTCAGAGTTTCTTGAGAAGAAGTTAGTACTTTGTTTCCTCAAGTTGGGTGCACATTAAGGTTGTGAAAGCTGCATGATTAGGCTCCAGTGGAACTGTAATTATGGCTGGTATTAGGACTTACCACACTGGAAGCAACAAATTATTGTGCAACTGATGCCAGACGCTTCAAAAGCAGATACGAAGTTTCTACCAGAGCATAATTACATTATGAGGGACCCCACTTTCTGATCCAACTGTTTCTTAATATATAACGCAGCTGTAAAGATTAATATCTTTTGTAATTCAGACTAACATCACTTCACATACATATATGGACTTTTAAAGAAAACCAGGTCTGTTTCCTGGGAAAGATGGAAATGCAGATTGGTAACGGATTTCAAGTCGATTCTATGCAAAAGTTTTACATCATCCCAACACATCAATACAGGAATTCCCTACACCCTAAGGAGTGATTGCATAGTACCTTTCACAGTTTCATGTAGCAATCACAGTGATTGCTTAAAACATGGGAAGGAAAATGTAACACTGAAAGAAGTAAAAAGCATATGGATTATCATAAGATAAACTTGTTTTTTCCACAAATGTGTAGCCTTGCAGCTCTTCTACTCCTCGGCAGGAGACGATGGCTGATCTCCCCAGTGGGAGTCTCCTGTGGACCCAGAGCGAAATTGCTAATGCCACAAACAGTTTCAGTGACAAGAACAGAATCTGTGAAGGTACTTTTGCAGACGTCTACAAAGGTCAGAGGAACAACATGGTGTTTGTCATCAAACGACTCAAAGAGGCGAGTACTGCACCTTTTTCTAGAAGAGGGTGTGCTATTAGCATGACTCACCCATTAGCAGTTGTTGTTTAATATTGTATGGGGAAGGAACCAGAATAGCTACACAAGACGAGAGGTAAAAATTAAATTATATAAATAATTAAAGCGAAATTCAGAAAACAGAGGTGATACTTTACTCCTGTGAGTAGTTCCATTAACTCTGTACATAGGAGTAGCCTGCAGTATAGCTGCCTGCATTGATGATTGGATCAGGGGTGTCTTTACATTAGTTTTTGTTCCAATTGTCAATTAATTGTGGCCTTTGACTTAATGTTGCCATCAGTGGTACTTGCCTGTTCCTACACTAGCTTGTTATCTAGACACTACCAGATCTGAATAAATGCAAAGTCCTAGTAGTTACTAAGGACGTTCTCTTGCATGTTTTCATGTTTCAGCTGGAATGCACAAGCCCAAATTCCACCCAGAGGTTCTTTCATACAGAAGTGCAGATTTGCTTTCGGTGAGTGCTTGGCTTTCAGGGGCAGTGATGCATGTCCTGCTCGTGTTCTGCTGCTGGGTGTTCCACCAACACTGCAGCATCTGCTCCAGGCACTGCTCTGGGCTGGGGACAAAGGGTCGTGTGCTGCCTATGCAGAGCCCTGGGCAAGCAGCACAGTGCCTGTGGCTACTGCTGGTTCTGGCTGAGCTGGCACAGCCACGTTGCAGCCTTGGGATGGGGAGGACACAGTGCCCACCTTGTAGCCCTTGCTCAGTCAGCCTCCTGCCCAGGACCGTGCTGTGCCTCCAGCTGTGCTTCCAGCTGCAGCACACCATTCCACTTGCCTTGAATTTAGGAACTTAGTCCAGCTCAGGAATGTATTTTGCTGTGTTGCTCTTATATAATTTGCAAATCACTGCTGATCTGTGCCTGCAGGTGTTGTCACATAAACATTCTGCAGCTGCTGGGGTTCTCTGTGGAAACTGGATTGCACTGTCTCATCTATCCATACTTGCCCAATGGCTCCCTGCAAAACAAGCTTCAGTGCCACGTAAGCAACAATCTGCCTCTGCCACCTACCTGTGATTGCAAGTCCTCTCCTGGAACTGTAGGAAATACAATTGCATCTCTTTGATTTCTGAAGAAACAGCCAGAAAAAAGAGGTGCCTTGGTTGCAAGCATCAGAAAGGCAGCAGCTCTTCTCCTGGAGTTTGACTGGGACTCAGCTAAGCCTTTGGTTTTCTAAACTACCAATATGTTACAGTGTTTTATTCCATTAATTACCAATTTTTTCTTCCTTTCCTTGCAGGATGATTCTGCTCCACTGACCTGGGAGATGCGAATTAGCATTTCTATAGGAGTTGTCAGAGCAGTGGAGTATTTGCATAATTTTGGAATTCTTCATGGGAATATCAAGAGGTGAGGACTTTAGCATATCAACACTTCCTTGGTCACTTGGTAATTCAAGGATTTCTTTAACAATCATGGCTAATGTTTATACAATTTGGAAATCCATTTGCAGTATTTTCTGCTGTCCCTTGTTCTGTAGGGCCTTTACCATTTTTTGTTTAACCTTTCTCTTTCCTAAATGAGGGAAGTAAATTCTTTTGAAGTAATTTTTGGGTGCTTGTTTTTCCTTTTCTTGCTCTCAAACATTCTTAATCCTCAGTCATCTGCAGGAGGCCAAATGCTGGACACTTTTGGTGATTAAGTTTAAAAGTATAAAACTAATTTTTTGCTTTAAGATACAGCAATGATTTGACCAATATTGTTATTTGTCTGTCATTAACACAGCTCAAATGTCTTGCTGGATGAAAACTTTACACCAAAGCTTGGGCATTCTGGCCTGCGTTTGCATTCTTCTGATAAAAAATCAGAATATGCCATGATGAAAACCAAAGTCCTACAAGCTTCTCTTACTTACCTGCCAGAAGATTTTGTCAGACATGGGCAGTTAACAGAAAAAGTGGATATATTCAGCTGTGGTGTGGTACGTTGCCTTTTTTCCATGCTCTGTTGTATTTTTTGATGCTTCTAGACAAGAAATTGAATGTAAGAGCAAGTACCTCATATGGTTGTTTTGCTGGCTCTATAATGTGTTGAAATCCTGGTTTTAATTGTTCACACTCCAAATATATCTCATTTGTGGCAAAATTAGGTGAATCTTACAAACAAGAGAAACAAAAGTGTTTCTTATTGTAAATAAAATATTAATTTAAAACAAATTAGATGCTCAAAATACTTGCAGACTCACCACATAAACTGCCACAAACATTGCCTGTTCATTTGTAATTTCAGCTAAAATAATTGATAGTCCATGATGTCACCCATTTCCAGGTGTTTCCATTTAAGTAGGAAGTTACTCTGTTCCGTATGATTTCTTATCTACATTTAGCTTTGTCTCAGCAATATTTATTAAACCAGAAAATCTGGGCTTGGCTCTGGAGGTAGATCTAAAGTCTCATAAATGCCCTGAGCTGGCATTGTTAAGCCATTGAAGTAAAAATATAATACCAGAATGCATTGAAGTTCAATATTTCTTTAGTTAGAAATTTATTTTTTAAAATTATAGTTCATTCTGAACAAATAATTTTCTCTTTCAAATACACTTTCTAGGTCTTAGCAGAGATACTGACAGGCATTAAGGCACTGGATGAAGACAGACACCCAATTTACCTGGTAAGAAAAAGCAGCAGTAATGAACACCAATACAAATGAATGGGGTTGCTGTCATAAAAATAATTTCAATTTTATTTAAATACGATTTGATATTTGCTGTCTGCTGTATATATCCTGCATGTACAGGGAAGTTTAGGAGCCATATCCTGGTTCCACTAACATGAAGCACAATAGATATTCCCATTTCACATACCCACTCATGAGTGCTGGCCTGAATTGCATTAGGAGAGACTCCAAAATAAATAAATAAATATTTAAGAGGCAAGGCTTTGTGCTGAAATGCTGCTGCATATTTTCTGTGTGCCAGGAGGAGGTGGTATTCCCACTATTTGCAGGCAATTCAGAAGTGTTCAGAGGGGTTCAGAAAATCAAAGATCCTACATTCCTGATTTCTTAAACATGTGTTATAAAGGCCTGTGTAAGAATGCTGCTCTGCACAGTGTTGGCTCATTTTCATTCATATAAATGAGCAAAAGCCAAGAAGAGCTGGCCCTGCTTTAGGGAATTTGACATTGGATACATGCAGACAAAGCCATGGCCTTTTTCTCTCCTGTGAGAACAAACATTTCAGTCAGTTGCATGAACAGAGATTATTAAAGCTTTTCAGTCTGTGAACCAGGCATTGAGGAGCACTAATGACAGATACACAGCAATACTGATTCTCAGAGATTCAGACAAAAATAAATGCTTGTGTTCATTTTGCCTTCCCTAATGCATCTCCTTCCTTTGAACAGAAAGATATGATTGCTGATGAAATTCAAACAGCAAAAGAAAGCTCACACTCCAAAGTAAAAAATTTGGAAAAACTGGCTGCCAAGGAAATCTGCTGCAAATACCTAGACAGAAAAGCAGGGCACTTGCTGGAAGAGGTGGCTGTTGATTTTGCATCAGCCATCTGCCTTTGCCTGAAAAAGAAGAATTTGAACATAGCAGAGGTAATATTTTAAATACATGGCCAAGATTTAAGTGTCCTTGTCATCAGGGTGTAAAGCTACAACATTCATGTTTTGCTTATTATTGTGAGTGTTGACATAGGAGAATATGTGTAAGCAGGGTTACAGGAATTATTATGCATTCACAAATTTGGTTGCTAAAAACAGGTACTTGAAATTATGGAAATGGCTGAAAACAAATTAAAAGAGCATTACATCTGTGGAAGCAGCCCTTCTGGATTCTCCATGAACACTCCAGAAGAAACTGATGATGAGACAGCCAGTCTGAGCGTGGATGTGCCCTCTGCAGTGGGCAATAAAGAGGAGAGCACGCCGGCAGCAGTCCTGAGCAGTGGCAGCCCCTGCGTGCCTTTCGTGGCAGCTCCCGACACGTGTGCTGCCATCTACATGTCACGGATCCCTTGTGAGTCAGATGAGTCCAGCAGTTTCACGTGGAACCTTCCAGAAAAACCCACGGAGGAGTTAGCTAGCCACAGCTGTATCAATTCAGAGAAGGTGCCAGCCTGTGATGACGGGATCAAGCAGGGAAAGCCTGCCCAAGGACTGCAGGAGAGAAGCCTGGCCTGTGCCAGAGGCGAGAGCATCGTGGAGTCAGCAGCTGCTGCTGCACAGGCCACCTGTCCACAGGAAAACACAGACCTGGACTCCTCGTGTGCTCCACAAGGTAAAAGTGCCCTCATCTTACAGTACCAGAACTGCCTAGGTTCCTCTTCCTATTTTTAAACACGTATCAGTAACTCTTTTCTCCTTGGTTATGAATTTACTAATAAATCTGCAAAACATTTAGTGGTTTTCTATCAAATTTTTTTCCTAAGCCATTTTTGTTGGTTTCTTGCTTGCTTGCTTTTTATTATATTAAAAATTAACATCTATTCCCTAGACAATCAATGTAATTTTTTTCCTCAGTATTTTGGCTTTTTTTGTTTTTCAGCCATAGCCAGAGAGACATCTTGGAAAATACAGATAAATGATCAAAAAAAGAAGCTCATGGAAAATATTTTGCTGTATGAAGAAGACAAGTTAAACAGTTCTGAACTTTTTGAATCATAAATTGGATGGATTTATTAGCAGTGGCCAGCTCAGAAGAAAAACTAAGTACTGTCTCCTCATTAGAAAGATTGTACCTTTCACATAAGATTAGGTAGCAGATTTGGATCAGGAACATTAGCCCTGACTGAAGGAAACGAGAAGTACCACATGGAGAAGCAGTAGAAAATACCTGTTGTGTAGCAGATTAAAGCACAGTCCCACTCTGTACACAGAAATGCCTTCTGCCTTTTCATCTGCAATGTGAAAAGGAATGGCAAACCCAAGTGTCAAAATAATTTCTGATTCGTTTTTAGTGTGTTTCAGGAAGCATTTGTTGGTCTCATTAAACCACAGTCCCAGGAGTTAGAGAGCAAACGCTGACAGTGGCCAGGCAGCAATAGCAATACCCTGCATTGTTCTCCCACTGCAGCCAGGGAGCCTCACACTGGGGAGGTTTCCAGTGACTCTCCTATTCCATAGAATCTTAGTCCACATACTCAGAACCACTGCATTCCCAGAGAGGGGGATTTTTATGCAAGTTCTCAGAATGCTGTACATGGCTTCATCTTGGTTTGACCTGCACTGACCACAGGTGTGAGTAAATAACTTCAGACACTTTCCTCTACTCTCAGCTTCTCTCCCACATACACATGTGGCACCACATAAGTCCAACCTTTCAGTTCACTGTTGGGAGCTCTAAGACCATGTTTAATACTTCATAGGAGTATTCTTGGGAATTATTTTTTTCTAAGTGTCCTTTACATGGTAATGTTTCTCACTGTGTTTCACATGGTAACTATTGTATATTTTGGATTAGGGAAAATACTTTAATTTAAAATAGCTTTGATTTTTTTTATAGGACACTTGAAACATAATTTGTTGTATTTATTTGGGCAACGGGTCAAATATAAGCTAATAAGGGGACTTGTTGATGGTTCCACACTCACCAGACATTCTCAGAGAAATCCTTTTGGGTGTCCCTTGGTTCATCCAGCAATAGGAGCCTTGATCTCAGGCCCAGGGATCACATGCAAAAGAAAAAATAGAAACTTGTATGCTGGTATATTTATGATCAAGTAAAGCCCTCTTAAGTTAAGCTCCCTTTTGTTTTTATATTTATTATTTGTACTATTGCTAGCATATTCCACTTGTGTGCAGTCTAGGGAAAAACAGGTTTATTATCAGAGAATTATCAGAGTATGTAGCTCAGCTTACAGACAGGTGAGCTGCCTCCTGAGCAAAGGGAACAGGGCCTGATGTGCAGAAATGGCTGCAATTCACAGTGCAGTTCAGGGAACAAAAATGAAATTAATTATATGCAATTATTTTCAGTGGAATTGTGTACTAGTATCTATTCCTGGCTTTACACAAAGACCTCAGACCTTCTATTTTTGTACAGTACCTAGTTCATTGTATGTATTATTATGAGCAAGTAAAAGTTTCTCAAGTTATTCTCTACACTAAAAACTGGTAAAATTCCTTAATTATAAGTGCCTTGGATATGGTCTTTGTATTTACCTGTGTCAGGATATTTTTTATTTTACCAGAATCAAACCAAAATTAGTACTGACATAAGAAATATTGTATATTCAGATTGGTTAATAACAGCTTAATTCTACAGGAGATTTAATCGAGGTAACTTTATGGCACTGAAAATGGAATATTCATTGTTTTTCATGGGTATATTCTGGGATACCCATGGTAAAATCGTGTCTTCTCCAGAAAGGAATGCACATGGCTACACTGCAGAGCTGAATGGGAAACTCGAGAGTTTTAAACTCAGAAATGTAGTTTGTGCACAGTTCTGTTTCACAAAAGTGCCTTAGAGATTTTGTTCTTCTGTAGTCACCAAATGGAATTGTTATTCTTTGTCTTGTACCCTGACAGTTTTAAAATATTCTGAGATGATACAGGTAGTCTTACAGAGTTACGTAAATATTTAGCATAACATACATAAGAAGACACTGTGTGGTCTTATATTAACACTGTTATGTAACTTGGCAGTTCAGAAGTCAGTTTATGCATTACCATTTACTAATAGCTTTGTGAATAAAAAAACCTGAAAATTTCATTTTTTTCTAGTCTGCTTTTTCATTATTCATGGCACATAAAATGTATCTCATTCCACCTTTCTTGGGCAAAAGCAGCTCAAGGTCACTTTGCTCTCAGTAGTCATTATTAGTACAAACACGTTTATTCGGTCTTCATTCACTGTCAAATAGCCGATGCTTTTCCTTTCTGATGGCTCTAGAGAAAAATTTCACCGTAAAATTCATTGCAAAGACTCGTGCGGTGCGGCCGGGGCTGAGGGGAGCGGGCCCTTCCCGCCTTTCCGGCACAGCCAATCACGGCCGGGGCTGAG